CTTTTTTTTTAACAGACAATAGTTCTTTTGTCTCTTTTAAATGGTAAAAACCGCAGATCTTTATCTAGTTCTCATCAAAAACTATTCTCCAAATACTCACCCTTCTTTCATTTGTGAAATGGATAATAGTCAGTCATTTCTTATAATAACAAAGTGATTTCTGTATAGAAAATAGACTTTTTTTTTCAATAAAACTTATTTTTTCACGAAAATCCGGTTTTTTGAAAAAAGTAGGTTTGTAATGGCGCGAATCGACTTTTTTTTGCCGTAAACTCACTTTTTTTCCAGGTGAGAAATCTCAAAATGATGTTGATTCTTAATGCCCACGCTTCATAGTGTTCACTTATACATTTATCTAAAATGTTGTTTTTTGACGAAACTCGACATTTTCCAGATGGTAGCCTTAACAAAAATCCTCAAAAATTTTGGCCAAAAACGAGATGCCGAAGAAAAAGAATGTTGTGTCTGAAAGAGCAGAAGACGGGCTTTCTTCCCGTGCATTTATCTCAATATTGAATTTAAGACAAAAATTGACTTTTTTTGGAGGGGGGGGGGTGAGGATGGCCTTGAGCTGCCTCTCTACTTACCTTCAAAAAAGTCACTTTTCGTCAGAATCATGGAGATTGAGGTAATTATATACGGTTATAGTCTGGCATTCGCCCTTATACAAACGATAAAAATTTTTCTTCGATACCTTCTCTTTTGTCGAAAAATTTAAAAAATTTTCGGCAACCTCTATTCAAAAATCCAGCGGTTTTTGAAAAAAATTCCGAATTTATTGTTTTTTTTTCATCAATTTTTAGTCGAACAAAGCATCTCCAACCAAAGTTAGCTTTAATGCAATATCAAGTCGAATATTTCTTTTGTTTAAAAGAGCATGAAAAGCTGCGGTGCCTAGAAGGGCCTTTTTCGATAAACCTTTCTTATTATTATATTGAAAAGTCACTTTATAATATAAACATAATTTTTTTGAGGGATTTTTGAGTGATTGAATTTGTGGATCCTTTTTTCTTATTAAAGATAAAAATTTTAAAAGACAGACCCTCATTGGCAGTGTATTCTAACTTGCTCTTTCATAAGAAAAAATAATGAACCAAATTGAATGAACATCCGTAGGGAATTTTCGGTGACGCGATAAACTAGTTTTCGACCGTTCTTTCGTTCGTATCTACTTTATACATCAGAATAGGAAGCTGAAAATTTTACCACACACGTACTTTTACACTTTCAACACATCCCCAAAGTTTTACGCTATCTCAATGTTTTGAAATTGATATCGATTTTTGAGGGGGGAAGGGGGCTTAAATGCATTTGGATATTTATGCAATGCAATATCTGGTAACGATGCAAAAAATCCACTCGTCAGTTTCATCGCTCTCATATATCTACTATTAGCATCTGTTAAAAAAGAAAAATACATTTTGCATTTACTTATGTTCACAACAAGGCAACAACGACTCAGAAATAAGATTTTACTTGTAGAAATATCTATTATACTAATTTACTTGGGTCTGACCAAAAGTTACCAGATTGTTAAAAAAAATTTAAAGATTTGGAGATATTTTTAATTTAATTTTATCAAATATTTAGGATAGTTGTCATTATTAGTTATACCAAGCTCAATCCTTTATAACAATTTGTTAGAAGTTTTTTGAAGGCTTTTTCGAAAAAAGTTTTAGCTATCTTGGATCCTGCTTGAACTAATCATATTTCATTTGTTTTAAAAACTTAGCGAAATTTCGCTCGACCATGTCACTTGCGTTCTAACATTACTAGTGATGGGATATGGATTTTTTTTGTATAGGTTAGTCATAAGTCATCTGATGCTAGCCGGCTCATTGAAGATAAATTATCAGAGACTATTATTCATGAAGACAAATTTTAGCCAAAACTTTGTTTGATATATTCTTTAAACCAAGTAATTCTGTTCTTATATATAATGTAGATAAAAGCAAGACTGTAGGTCACAAGTATTATATTGAAAATTGTCCGAAGCCTTTTGTTAATGAAATATGGAAAGAAACAGAGACATAAGGTTCAAAATGTCCAAAATTGCTTGACGATCATCGTTGACTTCATACTCATCACATGTTACTAATTAAATGACAGAAGAAAACATCAATATAATGTCATATCCACCACATTTGTCCGGCGTGATATTATGTAGTTTTTGGCTAACTAATTCTATCGAACGTAGTTTAACTGATTAAATAAATGTAACATGATTAGATCATGTGGAATCCAAGGTACCTAAAAAAAGTTTTCGAAAAAGACTTCAAAAAACTTCTAACAAATTGTTAGAAAGGATTGAGCTTGGTATAACTAATAATGACAACTATCCTCAACATGTAATAAAATAAAATTGATAAATATCTCCAAATCTTTATATTTCTTTTAACAATGTGAGAACTTTTGGTCAGATCTAAGTACTTTTGAATACATTTTTCAAAAATAAATATCCATTGTCGTAAAATATTATTAGTTGTAAATGTGTGGTCAATATCATATGCGGAAATTAAAAATATACTTGGTAAAGTTGTATGAATTGAAGAAGAAGAAGAAGACTACCCCGCCTTTCGGCTACCTCGCTGTATATGGTGCTGCCCGAGGACAACTTCGAGAAGCCCGATATTTTTCCTACATCTATTACTAAATGTAGCTCTGGACAGAAGGCCAGCCTGACTCAGAGTCCTTCTCCCTTAATTTCTTAAGCTTCCCATACATACTGACTAACCACATACTAGCCACAAGGACCATTTAGTGTATGTCAACAACGTAGTCAATTTGCTATCGGATAAGTGGTCCGAGACAAAACAGCCGCTAGTGACTTGTCCAAGGTCATTCTATGACTGATGGAGCCGAGGTTCGAACCCAGTATCTTGTGGATATGTGTCAAACAACTTAACCATTCAGCCATAGCGGCCTTTTTATGAATTGATGGCAATGATTAAAACATATGAATCTTTACTAATGATTAGTGGCGTAGCCAGAGGGTCGCTAGAAGGGGCTCAGCTCCCTCTAGAAGGCGCCTAGCCCCCTCTACAAACAGTTGAGTCTCGCTTAAGAAAAGCTTGAGCCCCCTCTAGAAAGGCGATCACATATGCTTGAGCTCCCTCTACAGATATGGTCAGGAGGCTGAGCTCCCTCTACAAGTTTTTTCTGGTTACGCCACGACTAATGATGCTTTATTAGTTATGCCAAACCAATCGTTTAGTTGTTCAAATGAATCAATTTGGTAATGTTGAGAAATTGATATTCCATCAGCAAGTAGTATCAAAAAACTAATAAATGAATTTATGAAAACATTTATTCATTCATTTTCTTCACCTTATCTGTTCAGGTTGGGGTTTAAACCCGTTCAGTAGTTGTTTCCATCGGTTACAATCTTTTGCCACTTGTTGAATATCGACCCATTGTAGATTCATACGCTCCTGGATGAGTTTTTCAATGTATTTGCGCCAACTTGTTCTTGGTCTTCCGATTGGTCTTCTACCTGTTGGTACGGCTTGGAATATTTAGAGAGGTGATCGATTTGGTGGCATTCTTAAAACATGTTCTAGCCATCGTAGTTGTAAACGTTCGATGTGGAGAAGTAGTGGTTCAATTTGTAGAGATTTGCGTATGGTTGAACTTTTAATTTTATCTCGAAGTGACAAGCCAGCTATTCTACGTAAGAATCGTATTTCTGCTGATTGTATTGGAGATCGTGTTTTCTCTATTAATATCCATTTTTTATGTCCATATGTAAGTGTTGGTCAATACAACGATTTGAAGATTGCCAATTTTATCTTTTTGCTCAATTCTGATTTTGTTTTAACTGTCCGGTTTAATGAACGTAGGATTCTACTTTCTATACCAATTCGTCGATCTATTTCTCTATCTTGTTTTCCATCGTCTGATAATTGAACACCTAAATATTTAAAGTATTTTACCTGGTTGATCTGTTCGCTGTTTAAATGTAGGTTGCATTGTTCGGGTTCTCTTGAAGTTACCATTAATTCTGTTTTCTTCACGTTTATCTTCATGCCATAGGTTGTGCATGCTTCTTGTAATCTATTGAGAGCACTTTGTAGATCTGTTGCTGATTGTGCAAACCGAGCAACGTCATTGGCGAAGAGAAGGGAGTCTACTTTTACATCACCAATGTTGATACAGGCTGGGTTGATACTTGTTCAAGACACCTTGTCCATAAATATCGCAAATAATAACGGAGATAATACGCATCCTTGTCGAAGTCCAACTTTCACCTGAAAATGTTCTTATTTGTTACCATTTATTCGAACAGAGCTTCTACAGTTGTTGTGTAAGGCTTGAATTGATAATAGTAGATGACCAAGTATTCCATATTCTTGTAATATCTTCCAAAGTATTTCACGTGGTACTCGATCGTATGCTTTTTCTAAGTCGATGAGCAATGTGTAGACAGGCTTGGCGAATTCCCATGACTTTTTTAATATTTGTTTGCAGCGTGAATAGTTGATCGGTTGTTCCTCTTCATGCGCAGAAACCACATTGTGTCTCTTGAATGTGCGGTTCAACTATATCTCGACATCTACGTTCGATTATTCTGGCGAAAAATTTGCCTGAGAGACTTAACAGAGTGATTCCTCTATAATTCGAAGGTATGATGGAAAAAGGAAGAAAGGAAAAATATAGAAAAAAATGAGGAAAATATCGAAAGAGAAAAATATCGGAAGAGAAAAATATCGAATGAGAAAATAGCGAAAGGTAAAATATCGAAAAGAAAAGAATAAATAGCCATAAGACGTCGCTATAACATGTGCATTAAACATTTCTTATTTAATTGGTTAGTTCATGCTATTAAAAGTGTTTACGTTTACTCTTTAAATGATGCATATGTAAATATGCGAATGTAATAGATAAATCAATTTGCATGGATTAATTATTTTTTCTTTGGTACCTCATTAATAATGGTTCTACTGATGAAATTTCGATTGGTGATAGTTAATAGTTAAAGATATACGAATTGATTTTCAGATATGATGACTGCACCTTCAAATAAAATATCATTTATTATTTCTCAAAAAGGAAAAAAGATGCTGAATATAAACAATTTCATCTTTAAATTGAATAAGACAACGAGTACAACAAAATACTATCGATGCGAAGATTCACGTTGTACTGTTACTGTACGTACTGATCTTGAAGATAATATTTCGAACATAAAAGGTGATCATTGTCATCCACCTGAACCAGAAGAAATTCAAATTCGAGTGTTCAAACAAGTTGTCAAAGCCCGTGCTATAAGTGAAAGTACATCTATTCCACAAATTTATGACGAGGAAGCAGCCCGAATCGGTTTATCAACATTAGCAATTGCTACTTTACCATCTCGGGGAGAACTTGGTTTGTAAACGCTTTATTTTCTTTCGCTTAAAGAATCAATTTTTCAGGTAGTACATTAAATAAAGCACGTCGTCTTCAAACACCATCAATTCATAATTCTCAGCTGTTTGATATACCTCAGTCTTATACTAAAACTTTGAAAAATTTACCTTTCCTTTGTATCGATCAAATTATAAAAAGAAAAACTCGAATACTGGTATTTGCATCAGATGAACAACTAAAATTATTGTTCAATAGTTCCGTCATCTTGATGGATGGTACTTTCTCATCATCACCTTAGATTTTCGATCAAGTATATTGCATACATGCAATTAAATTTGAACAATGTGAATAAGAATTTTTTTTTAAATAAACTTTTAAATACTAGTATATTTCGTAGCGTTCGTATGTGTTTTTGCTCTGTTGCCTGATCGAAAAAAACCTACATATAAATATCTATTTCATGAATTACGTAATAAAGCTGCTCAATTAAATATGACTTTTAATCCATATACTATTATGTCAGATTTTGAAGGAACATTAGCTGAAATACTTAAAATTGAACTACGTATTACTTTAGTTTAATTTGAACAAATACTATTATGTTGCCTTTCTAGTTTCCTAATAGTCAACATGTGGGCTGTTTCTTCCACTATACACAGGCGATCTATCGAAATATCCAACAACTTGGTTTATCTTCTGAATATGTTGCTGATGATGAATTTCGAAA